CTATTTCAACCAGTAACTGTGTAGGGCCAGTGAAATGTCACTGAGCACTAGTCAAATCATCCTGCAGCTGGGTCACTGAATATTGAATAGTTCATCGATACCCGTCATGTCAAGGGCGACAAAAAGCGCATCAGTTAATCGTACTCCATAGACTGTCCCATGCAGTGGTGGTCACACTATCGCTTGTACCTACTTTAACTAATATATTTCTGTAATAACATCCTCTTTGTTGTACGGTCTTCAAAGCATCCATAGTACCTTGATACGACGAAGGAGTAATCCACGTTAAGTGCTGACCGCGAGGTGTAACTTCGTTGTCAGCTGTGGGTCACGCCATTCCTGTCGAACTCGAGCAGACCCCCAATCATTCGACAGAGATAATCAACGTTGCTAATCTACAACTGTATGGATTGAGTGCATTTCGAAACACTTAAAGGAATTGGCTGTTTATTGTAAAACTGTTACTAGATGTTCAGAATAAATAAATCTAGTGATTACTTCAAGAGCTGCTCTATCATTCATTTGCATGATTTTATTTGAGGCATTAAATCTATAATCTTGGCTACATGATTTCTAGTGTCAACTATTAATATCAGAATGAAATAATGAGCTACATGTTTTACAAGTGATTTGTCAATTAAGTAATATATCATGAAGCTGTAAATTGAAAATTAACCCTTGTAACAGGACTCAGTTTAGGAACATAAATTCACTCAAATATTCATCTAAAATTTTAATTTACCCAGTCCAGATAAACAACAGATTTGAAACTAAAAAGACTTGAAGAAGTACCACCTAGAAGGAGAACATACACCTCTTAGGCTTCAGCACCAGTTAATTAGGTCGGTAGGACTAAACTCAAAACCGAGCATTTGATCAATAGATGATTAGACTGTAACGCTATATCAAGTGACATGGGATTCAGTTATCCGAATGGTTATGAAGAACCAGACTATACCAGGACGGTAGTTTATTAACATAAAGTACAGCTAGTTGACTCAGTGAAGTTAATTTTAGAAGTAAGATATTCTCCTGTATTTAGTACAGTTGGATAGACAGTCACATTTAAGTTTTTCCGACATCAATATTTGTGATACTACAATGGAAACCCTAGGAACGAGATTCAGTCGTAAAGAAGTTTTATTTGATACTCATCAACCAGTAAAAAGCATAGATTATGCTGTCAAAATCGATGGATAATTTAGGATTTACACGATCATCTCCTGTTATCTTAACAAGTAAAATGCTCAACATGATTTAATATGAAATCTGTTGAGGTAAGTAGTTTAGATTTCCAACTTAACTTTATGGTCCAGTTGGATTATAGAAATCTACGACGAATGATTTAAAGTCTACCATTTGCTCTTGATAGTTTCCCATACCAGTGTCTATAAATTGCTTACATGTAGATAAATATTTTCCTCAATTTTTGAAGGCAATATTTTATATTACTTAATTGTTTTGGTTACTTAAAAGTAGTACGAAATTACATGAGAAATTTATGTAGACATGAAATCATATCCAAACAGATAAATGGAAACTTCCCACTGTCTATTTCAAATATCCTTGTATATTGATAGATTTAAGAACAGCAAGATGCTTTGTCATGGTTAGAAGATTCGTTGGATACACTTCTAACAAAATTCGCAGCTAGGAAGAAGATTCGTATATCAAGGGGGGTTTTGGTGGTGCTAATTTGTTCAAGAACTTAATAAAACCGCCTAACCCATTGAAAAGAAGGAAACCTGAAGACTCATATCGAAACAACAGTAACTGTTTGTTCTAAACTGTTAAGTGTGAGTGTTTAAACAGGATTTTGTCGTGTCAAAAGCTTTGTAATCTAAAAATAGTCTTCAGGTATATGAAAGAATCATTGTCATGTTACAGAATGTTGTGAGCGTTGCTTATATAATTTGAGAGGTATTGCCTAGCGTTACAAAGAGGGGTTTTGATGAGCAAGTTTTTGATTGTCAAATTCAATAGGTGGAATGCTATCCGATGAATGAAGGTTGGTGGTTGCTGATGAGACTGGTTTACTTACTCTTAATGATTAGAAGTCAGAAGCGATATCACTCCAGCCAGATGAATAAGTTTTTACATATAAGAAAATAGCATGTCCATATACAGAATATTGGACACAAAATAAGCGTGAAATGTCGTAGGCGATTAGCTTGTAGGTCGCTCATTCTTTAACTAGTTAAGACCTAATCTTTGGGTATAGTATCACATATGATGGGAATACAAAGAAGCTATGAACAACATACTTCCACAATTATAGGATATCCTTTTCACATTAGAAAGATTACACATACACTCTTTTAGTCACAAGTATTGTTCAATAGAAACCGCCCCTACCATTCTACAGTTTAAGGCTACAATAAACTCACTATTGAGTTCGATAAGGCAAAATACATGTATGACATCACCAACGTGTTTTCATTCATTTACATCTGATAGATAGGGACCCATAAGTTCACTGTTTATGTGACTTAACTTATCGACCCATATACAATGGTAAGATATAATTAAAACTATTAGAACCAAATATTTAAAATGGTCTTCTATATCTACTAGTACAGCTCTGCAACGCGTGTCCCACTCATTTTCCGTTAATTTTTAATAAGTTCCCCAACCGAAATTTATTCACAAAGATGTATCGATTAATTAAGCTTATATTCATAGGATTTTGACTGACTGAACTAAAACTAATTTTTAAAATCCACCAAGACCAAATAAACAAGTAGTTTGGTCCAGCATATTCTACTTATTGAAATTTAAACGATATTTTTATTTTAAAAAATAAACGCGTTTTGGGTTGGTAGGTTGAAAAATCTCTGGCAACGCGGAAAGGCCATATTTTGAATATAAAGAATCGAGCCCTTATCATTAAAAATAAAACTGTTACATCCCCTAGTCTCTTTGTCTCCAAAGCTAACATTAATGTTTTATTTAAAAATAATTTAAAAAGTTGATTATTTTGAGTCATAATGTACCTTTTTGAAACTTAAGTGTTTCTTTTATTCCAATTTACTGCATCCACTTCGACTTACGACCTTATTTTCCAACGAACTACGCTGTTTTTATTAACTATTTCTAACAAATACAATTTACTAAATCATCTTAGACCTTGGTATTGCAGTCAGTAATAAAAAAAGCATGAAGTTGGTCCAAGTCGTTATACCTCATAAACACGACGGAATTAAATTAACAAGATGCATAGTAAAGCGATGGCGATCAAAAAGAAAGCGTTGAAAAGAGGATACGAAAAATCAAAATGGAAAAGCGTGTATGAGGGAATACAAGATTGAGAGGAAGATAGAGTGAATGCCTATGTGCCATTGTGAACAATTCTAAGCTGTCACCCACTTCTCCAATACTGATCGGTGTTATTACGTGAATCCCGACCAGGTAATTTACATACACTAATATGGCTCAGAGCAATAATGAATGACTTCACAAACCGATTACAAGTTTTGGTTTGGCTGCTCAAATTTTTCTTCCAACCTATGCTCACACTAGTAAACATCATCTGTCGAGGTACGCGGTGGGTATGTATAAGTAGTAGATTCACATAAAAGTACCGGTAGTTCAATTGTTAGTTTAGCAAATTACAATCTTAACCCATTAGGAATTTTCCTTATTCTTCAAAATGATTGTATTCTATGTATTAAAAAAAAACTAAACAATTACGACTCCTGAAAATTGAAACATGACACTCACTGAGACCATAAAATTCCTATTAAACCCAATATAAATGTAGGTAACATAGAGAAAATCATCTTTACCAATAACCGTCTCTGAATCTACAATTACTAAAACACTATGTATGAACAGATGATCCCAATATTCAAGTATGATTTAAGATACAGTATTTGTGAACAATAGCACATAGGTAAGACGAAATAAGACTTCTGAAAGTATATACGGTCTCAAGAATACTGTATTGGAACACCGAATAGAACAGCTGGGTTGTTAAAGTGGCATATTTACTCATTTAGAATGTAATGATGTGACAAATGATATTCAATCCACGTTTATTAAGCCTGAAATGTTACAATTCAACGAAAATAAGGTTTACAAAAATACAGGAATTATTTGTTGCCTAGCTGTACTTAATAAGTAATTATAAGATATAGTTTTGCTCATATCACATAGATTCCTAAATAAAGGCAAATCCGAAACCCTAAATATTCCTCCGGAATCATCTTGGCTACCTGCGAATCACTATGAAACGCGAGTTTAATAGGCTGTCGTCGTTCTGTGCTTATAGAAATGCTGAGAGCCATTGGTATAGGTGAGATATTCCTGGTCCATAATGTCTTTTGTATAAATCGCCAGTTATTTTTTTAGTAAATACTCATCATATTATAATGCATAGTAATAAGTACTGACCAACTGGCGTATAACCAACGAAATTCCCAAGTGAAATTTTTTGAATGTCTGTAGTGAGAAAAGTCAATGGACATTAAAGATATTTCTAAATACTCGGTCATTTTGATAATAATCCTCGCTTTATGGTTAAATATAATCTCATAAATTAACTAGTGAAGGTGATCCCAATTACACCTTGGTGTCGCAATATTATGGCAGAAATACTTAAAAACATATTTGTCCGAAAAATACATCGAACAACCTGCAGAAGTAATTCGACAACATACTCAGTATGATAGAAGTCAGTCATTAATTTAAACGGTGGGGACAGTACTCTAAGTAAAAACACATTAAAACATATTACATTACTAGATGATACAGACAGCATAAGTCGCATTAAACACGAGATCTTCAATTTTACAAATTCCTTCGGGTCACGTCCAAAACAAGTTGAAAATAGACTTTATGGTTGAATAGAAAAAAGGCAAGAACTTCTCACTAATTCACATCAAAATAAAAACACAATGGGTTTTTTATATTTTGTTTAGTTATTTACACTGTCAATAAATAAAAACTAAAATCAACTGGCTGAACTATATCGAGCGTATAAATTCCTAAACTATAAATGTTTATATAATAATCTTAAAATCAGGGTCGAGTTGATCAACTGGAGGCAGCTGAACACGGGAAGCAGGGATTAGATCTTTATCTACAAGAGGTAGGCCATCTCTTCTTCGTCTTTCTATCTCCAAATATGCTTCTCTCCAAGTCCAATCAGAAAAACTAAAAACAGTTTGATAACAATCAATAAATATTACGATGAAGTACCAACTGTAAGGAAATAAATTTTACTAACTCGAAACAAGTGTAGAAAATAAAAACGTCACGGAAAAACCAACCCATAAAAAGGTTGATGTTTTTGAAATGTAATAACAGAGTGAGAAAATCCCATGTATTAAAACTTGTGATATTATCAAGGTAGTAGCACGACATTAATTACATGGTATTCAAGAGTGTGATAAAGAAAGGGACTATCTACTGGAACTTTGGTCACTTAACTGAAGCAAGACCAGCTCCCAACCACTAACCATGTGATTGTTGGTCGATCATTTAATATAAATCATTTACCTTTAAGCCTATAACACAAACAATTTTTACGTTTTTTGAGACATGTGGACGGTATTTCCATAAGAAATAAAGCTGGTTGTCAAATATTCGACCAACCAAACTAACAGATTACATTGTCTTTAGGTTTACGAGATAACAGAGATCACAGCAAAAGTACTTCTATTTGAAAAGTCTAGTACAACGGAAATGAAAGGCTTGGAAACTACTACCCCAAGGAATCGTGCTTGCTGGTCTCAAGGCTTTTCGGTGTATCATCCATCAATAAATACACAGAAACAATTTTTTCTCTATACTAATCTTTCAAACCTTATGTATCTAACAAAAATATTACCCGATAGTCATCAGGTTAGTGAGATTAAATTAAACTTATAGTGACTGAAAAATTTTGTACAACTCAGCTGCAGTTTTATGTTTACTGGTCAATGTACAAAACAATAATACAGCCATCACATATACTCAAATACGGTTAAGAAACAAATTCTCTGGAGTGATGAGACACTGAGCCGTTGATAAAGTACCACACAAAATAAATAGTTAAAGATCCTTCTAGATACTGTTTATGAGTATTTGCCTACACACCTAATTATTAAACGGTTCGAGAATTTTATCGAAGTACTCGATATATTTCACGAATACATATAAAAATCATTAACGAAAGTAAGGCTAGAAGACGGAGGATGGACACATACGAACTGAGATTACTTACCTACGATTAGGAGAGTAGTACATAAACAAAAACAACGGAAAAATCCAGAGTGTAAGAAGAGCGAAAGGCATAAACTGTGATAGGAAAGTATCTTCTTTTTTGTCAGTATGGTGATAACCCGTGGTAATCCAATCCTTCAGACAGACCATAAGAAATGTGTGAAATCTTAACTAACCTTTGTCATTTCTTCAACCTCTTTTTCTATTTGCCTTTTATCCGCTTCCGGGATATTATTTTCCTTTAGTATATGTTTCATCTCATTCAGCTTCATGTGCATTGAGATAGTAGTACATATATGTCTCTTTATATTTGGAGTCAGAACAGCTGTAATGCGACTAAAACTCCGAGGGCTAAACACACTTAAAGCTGACAACTTTAAGGACGCCATCTGCAAGCCTACTTTTGACGAGCGCGCCTCAAAAACTTCAATCTACAGGCACTCATTAGTTGTTGAGATCCACTTTTTAAGGGATTCCATAACATTTAAAATGAATTCTCTGGCAGAACGCTGACGGTGTATTGTGTGCAGACTATAATGACATAGGATTCCAAGCTCATGTGATCCTGGTGATAACATTTCTTTGTAACGACTAATTAGGTGTTGTCAGTACGAATTTCAAGAAGAATTTCATGGCTAAACGTAAAATAGTCATCCAAGCGACTTACATGATACAAGTTTTAAAATATGCTCAGATTCGATTTGAGAACACATGGACAGTTAGAAAATGGGTACGATTCATATTAGGTATTACTAGTTAAAGCGTTGTCAAACTCCGAATACCTGTGGCATCTTCACTGTGGTGGTCGCACTCCGTTCCTCGTACCTATTCTTATTAATATATTTCTGTAATAAGGTAGTTTGTGTCATACGGCCGTCAAAGTAGCCACAGCACCTGTATACGACATAAGGGTATTGTACATTAAGTATTAACCAACTTAATTAGTCCCACAATAATCAACACAGATAATCTGCGTTGGTGTATAATCTAAAAATGCCTTAGCTAGTAACACTTTATAATCAACATGTGTTAGAAGCGAAGAAGTTCGAAGATATAATTGATAGGCTCTCGATAAATTGAGAAGTGATCAGTCCAAGCTGGTTGGCGGTCGTACGAACGGGAAGTTTAATCCCAACGTGATTTGCATTTCACGAACTTTTTCTGTGTTCTTACGCAACAAAAGTGCCATTTCTGATGTCAAACATCTGCCCTGAGCTATGCATTTGGTAGATTACTTTTCTTTTTGAGTTTTACCGAACTTGATAGTTAACTGGGGTTTTGCCTCATCTCATTATCCGGTTTTTCAGTTTTTTCACGTCAAGGCCAGCTTCAGTTTATCTTAACCTTTTGTACCACCCGTTTTTATCCATTTTTACACGTTTTCAGTGTACTGTTTTTTCCAAGGTCTTAGGCTATTGCTAGGATCTATAAAACAATTTATGTCTCTATAGCCATGAAAAATTCATGCAAATGACCCGGATGCTGTTTTGCCGTTACACCTGATATGCAGTGCGACAAATGCAAATGTTGGCTCCACGAAGCGTGTACAGGTCTTACGGCAACTGCTTACAACAGACTCAGTCAGTCGGATCATTGATGGGTATGTGTCATGTGCAACACGAATCCTGATGTTTGCTGGGCAAAATCATTGTTCTGTTGACAGGTCTGCGGAATAAGTTGTCAGCAAACTTGAAAAAAGACAGTCTTGAAACGGGTAGACAAACAACAACGTGCACCAAAAAAAGAAGAGGGGACTCGATAGCGGTACTATTAAGAGGGCATGTAGTAACACTAGCAATGACATGCTGAGACTCGGCACCATCACAACATCCATGGTACTAGACTCCCCCAGCAAACTTGGACCTCCCAGCACAGGTTCACAAAAATTTTGTAGGTGATTGGAGTTCCGTCGACAAAGTTAAAAAGGACTAGGCGTCACCGCTTAAGAATCTGAACATCCCGAGTACTATAGGGAAATCAACTGGTGATTTGGCCGCACAATCTACCCTCAAGAATGTCCATCCGGTCAGCTGAAAACCCAGGAATAGGAAACGCTCTTCGATCTCCAAACAACAAGGTCCTCAACCTGAACGCACTATAAAACCTGGGGAAACAATAACGGTTCGTGATGACTTTCTTATAGTCATAAACCTTTAAAACAACCCTGACAAACATGATAGGATGCTCTGGGAAGAGTTAAGCAAGAAACTCAAACTCCCTAAGATAAATCCTTTGACGGTCATACGGCTTACTCGTGGAAAGGACTCTAAGCATCAAAATCACCTAAGCCTATTTCGTACAACACTGACTAACGCTACAGACGTAAAGGATATCCTACTAACTAGTCACTTACTGAAATCAGATGGGATTGTAGGAATACTGCCTAATATACTGTATTCTGAACACAATCTCATCCGGAACATCCCTAAAGAGTCTTGTAAAAAAATTTTCCGCGGAAGAAATATCATTGTGCAAGGTGAACTGGAAAACACGGACCGTGATCACACAAACTCTGATATTAGGGAATAGAAATTCATCAAGCAATCCATGAAGCTCAAAAACACATTGACTCAACAAGTGTTGAGACTAGCCCAGAAGGACGGAGATTCTAGACACCGGCTGATGAAAATAACCTTCTCATCTTCCCATATGGTGACTGCGACTCTGAAGGCATTTCGTGCCAATAAACGTCGGTTGCCACCTGGAATTCATATGCATCCGAATATGCCAAATGACGCCAGGATCAAACACAAAGACAAGTTGGAGCTGACTATTCCACTTTTGAACTGTCTTGATCGTAAAAAATGTGTAAAGGACAGGGTCTAACAACCCGGAAAACCTTGTATAAGTAGGCTACCTGTCCATCCATATAGGACTCATACAGAAGGACAGGAAGGAGATGCTCACGCGTTTCAAACTGAAAGCGTAAACTGCTTCTAAATGAAGGCCGCGAGTTTATCGAATAAAATAGATGAGCCACGTGAACTCAGTAATGCTAATAATGCTCATCTGATTGGAATATCTGAAACTTGGATATCTTCTCAGTTTACGGACCAAGAACTAGTAATACTCGGGATGTCTTTGTTTCGCAGTGATAGAAAAACTGGAATTGGAGGTGGAGTAGCCTTAAACTTACGATCCTACCTGGAGGCACATTAAGTGAACACCCAAAAGTTCATCGGTCTTGCTGAATCCCTACTGTGTTTAGTAAGATTGCCCACCATCTTGAGGTGTCTAGTTGAAGTAATCCATAGGAAGCTCATTGCCGACATCGAGTATAACGACTGCATGCCGGATTGTGTGGATTCACTCATATCCTAATTCTAGGGGACTTCAATCTTCCTGAAGTTAATTTCGTGAAACATACGTATATTGAAGGTGAAAGCTCTGCTGAAGCTTGGTTCTTCAACCTCACTGAGGATCTGGGATTATTCAAAAATGTGAAGTCGGCCTCCCGCCTACCAATGAGGCACTTTATTATGGGCTGCCTAATACATAGACGGAACAGGAATATAACGAACCCCACTGTTAATAATATGAATATAACTAAATTATATACATATGGTCTACCCTCTTCTATTATTCACTGATTATCAATCATGGCCTTATGCTCCTAACCCTCAGTTTCAGTTTCCAACTCTCTCTAATGATTGGAGATACATCATTCTTCCTAAGTGTCATGTCTTTTTTTCCATTGCAAGTAAACAGATAACTCACTAATCTCATGGATGCTGATCAAATAAGGCTGATCATAAGAAGCTCAAAATGTTCTAAATTCTTGTGAGTTGCTCAATGTTCTATTATTCCTACCCTTAACATTTTGCAATCTTATACTCCTTCATATTCTTTGATTTGCTATTAGTTCTTACTCTCTTTAAACCTCATATCATCTAACCGCTTTTTAACTTTTACTATTAGTTATCTTCATAGCAGTGTGAAATACTAAATGGATGTCTAACTCATAATACAATTGCTTGTAACATGGAACTAGTAGAGACAGTGTATTCCAACTAAGGGCTTTGATTAAAGCAATATTCATACTTACCACAAACGTAAGAGTGCTCAACACCACAAAAGGAGTGAGGGGGGTGTTATTGACCAGCAAACATGATGATGAAGAGATAACTTCAATCCACCAATGTCTGTAAAGCAGAACACTTTGTTTAATTACGGCTCCTTATGGACTAGTGCAATGTCACGACCCAATGGTATTCATGCTGATTTATAATGCAAAATACCTCTTTAAATCGTGCTTAAAACGCTGAATTGGTTTCACTCCCTGCCGAGTAACCTTATTACAAGGAAGCTAGACAACCCGCTAAAAACGAAGCCTCCTCAGGACCCTATAAAATCTACCAAGAAGGGCTCAAGTAGCTTCGAAAAAAAGGGAAACGCCCATTTGTGTATCAGAATACTGTTTTCCGCACTATATTTTATAACTAAACATAACCCCATACTTTCGGCTTCTTCTGAACCACCTTCATTTATTCAGTTCTTTATTCACTTATACATTGTTTACACTTGTTTTCTTTAATATATTAAAATGCTCTTGCTTAATAAGTACCTTAATAAAAGGGAATTAGACTGAGTAGTCATGCCTTAAATATTCCTTCATGAACATTGTGTGCTCTGCCTCTCATCCTTTCTTTTTCTTACACCTTTTTTCAGCCCCCTTGAGATATGCCACCGAAAACAGATATTAAACGGATGACTTCGTCCTGCGCCATCATCGAAGCCTCAGATATTCCAGAAGGATATACGGTTGCGGTTTCTAGAAGCCCCCAACTTCACGTGGATCTATTTCCGACCATCAGTTGCACGTCGCAACGCAACCTTCACAAAGCGCGCCAACTGTGATCCTGACAATACGACCCTTACTAAAACCATCTACATTCATATCTTCTAAAATATAAACCCAGATAAGTAATTTACCACAGTGAAAATTGTATGTTTTGTAACAATTTGGTCTTGCCAGTAAACTGGCATGCCTCATGCAACAAACTGTATTTTTGAGAATAAACTACTATTATTATTGTTAACTCGTTGGAGAATCATTCGGACACCGTTGCGCTTAGACTGTGCACTTACAAACGAAGAATTCCTAATTGACAACTTTCCAATCCTGGCTCCCCTGGGGAGAAGCGATCACACCGTCATAGACATTAGTTTTATCAGCAAAACTGAGCTAAGACATCCCATCAACAACAGGTGCTGGGATTTCAAACAGTTGAATGTGTCAGCTTGTCAGAACTATTTACAATAGTTGGATTGGGAGACCCACCCTCAACTTGGTGTGGATGCTCATTGGGATTTCTAACCACACATGATCGTATGTGCTTCAAAGTAGTCTGCCACTCATATGGTCCCTAAAATCTACAATCAACCTTTA